CCTGCGCAACTCAGCTTTACGATTGGGCCAAGTCTCGCATCTGTACAACAGTACAGCACGAACAGTTGCACAATAGATGGGGAGACGAATGTCTTCACGGCGCCACAAGTGCCTCAGGCTGGAAAAAGCAAGGCGTGCTCGAGATGCGCATCGAAATCTCATCTCCAACAGCCCCGTCAGCAGTGATTCAACTCCCCAAGTAGACAAAGCCCCCTAGTGTCTCCCACCAAGAGGGAGTATAGGCACCTGCCTGTCTTGAAACAGAGCCTTGTATTTGGATAACGAAAAGTACCTGCCATACTTTGATGCTTCAATCGCCAAGCGGTTTAGTGCAAGTTGGATGACGTGTGGATCGTCACCCAGCAAAATGATATCATCAGCATAATCCAAATCAACAACTCGACTACCTGGGTGGAGCTCAATGCCAGCGTTCAACGAATCGTTCAGAGCGTTCTTTAGGACATTCTCAATGGCAAAGTTGAATAGGAACGGAAAGATGGGGCATCCTTGTCGAACTCCACTGCAGACCACAAAGGAAGGCGAAAGCTTGCCATAAGCCCTAACCGTGCCCGAAGTCAGACCATAGAGAGCGCGCAGTATGGATACGAACTTCTCGGGGACGCCATTCCTCAGTAGGCAGTGCCACAGTACAGTCCGATCGACAGAATCGAAGGCTGCACGGATATCCAAGAACACAGCAACCGTTGGCTTCTGATACACATGGCGGAGCTCGAGGAGCTAGCGGAGTGTGAAGATTTGATTTGAACAGCTGCGACCAGGGCGAAACCCGACTTGCTTTTCTCGCTGCAACGATTGGCGCGTCGGGGATAGCCTGCGAAATATGATGGACACCAGCAGCTTGCAAACGACGGGACTAAGCTTATGCCTCTGTAGTTGGAGCAGATTGTACGCAAGTCCTTTTTGAAGATGGGGACAACTATCGATTCACCCCAAGATGATGGGACTTCCTCTTTCGACCAAACTTTCGCGAACAAAGCAGCGTTCTCAAATCAGCGAAGCGCCATCTTTAAATAGAGCTAGAGGAAGACCATCAGGGCCGGGGGCTTTATAACGCTTCATGTGGCGGTGCTCCTGTTCGATTTTCTGGTAAGGGGGAGGATCTTTGGGGTAGACCACTCGGCCCCAGTGCGAGCGCCAGAGATAGCAGATGGAATTGCGGGCCAAAAAATGCGTGCCAAAATGTTCGGCCCATCGTTGCAACCGTGGTTGAAGATTGGTGATTAAGGTGCCATTTTCTTCACATGCTTCACTTATACCAGATCGAACACCTTCGATGACTCGAATGAGATGGATATGTTTTTTGATATTACCAGAGAGGCTAGCACGCTCCATCTCCCTAGCACGTACACCACTAAGCTTCGCGGCCCATTTGAAGACTCCTGCGCAACTCTCGACGCAGGGATTGGGGTTCTTCACTGTCTGAAATCCGACTGGATCAAGCGACGTTTGTTCATCAGCGACAAGAAGACGTCGGGAATCCAATGCTTCGGTGGGTGACGGGCAACTCCACAAGTGTCGATGCTGGCAGAAACTAAGGCATCTTTGAGCTGCGCCCACTGCGAATCGAAGTCACCGTCAATAGTTAAGCCAAGCGAGGTTGACAGTGAGGCTTGGTACCTTTTTAAACTCGCAGGGCTTTATAGATTTGCGACGTCCGGTCGGTAGTGAGCGCGCTTGGGTGATCCTCCGAAATGTATGCAAATTTTAGTACGAACCAATGCGTGATCTGAGTCTAGATAAGTTGACCAGTACGATCGGAAGTCCGTTACGCTTCCGCGCCATCTGTAGCTGATTGCTATTTGATCAAGCTGGGAGCGCTCTTACCTTTCTGAGGGTGGGCGCCAGGTAGCAGCGTGTCTCTGCGAGTGCGGAAAACTAGTGCTCGAAAGAAACAAGCGATGATCAGAGCAAAGAGAAAGCAGTCTGTCTCCATTGTCTAATCGACTGCCACCGAGGTCAAAACTACCCCCAAGGTGGTGCTCGCTTGGTTGAAGACGGCCCACCCGTGCGTTAATATCTCCGGGAAGAATGACTATATCAGTCCTTTTGGAGGAATACAGAAGTTCATGTAGCTGCTGGTAAAAGCTATCATTGACTGCATCCGCGCTGCAGTCTGTAGGGGCGTAGGCGGAGACAACAAACAAGACTCGCTCAACGTCTCGACGCCTGCTTACATTACATGAACTTCTTAATCGGACTGCGCATAGCCGACTATTGACTGGGATCCAGTCAAGCAGAGCTGATTCAGCCCTGGCACTCAGTGGAACCCCAACACAAGCTTGGCCAGAGGCGGCAGCTTCTGGGTCTCCCGAAAGCTGCAAGTGGTATTTGACATTTACCGGAGAGGCCATTCTAATGACGGCGCTGGAGTCTTGTAATCTGGTCTCTGAAAGACAACAAATGTCTACCGAGAGCGTTTTAAGCGTACGAGCCAGACATGCTTGTCGTCCGATCTGCATCAAAGTTTGGACATTAAATGCTGCGAGGGTGAATGGAGAACCAAGTCGAAGAAGCACTGGAGCTTCAGTGGAGTGAGAGATGGTTGCGATCGCAAAACATTGAAATTCGGGAATTTGGCTGTTACTTCCATCAGTTGTGAGACGTGGGTCATTTGTGACGGTGACCGAAGAGGATATAAGAGTACATGTAAATGAAGGACGGGAAGTGGAGTTGTCTGTGAGTGGAGGTTGAGCAGTTGAGTTAGCATAGATAATAGGCATAGCAAGATCAGTAGTTAACAGTGTGGTCCATGATTCGTCACTAGGCGTGACACTACCCGGTTGTCCAGGCTGAATTAGTGGGTTGTCTTAAGGGGGGCCTACCCTGAGCCGTTGATCAAAGATCTAACCTTCAGGGCAGCGGAGCGATGTGACGTCGTCACAATACGTTGGGAGCCGGTGACCAAATAGATGGTTCATGAGGTTTTTGGTCCGTGTAGGACCAGAAGCCCAACGCACCCTTGAAGTACAATGCCTCTCCACGATGTCGGTTGATTCCGCACAAGCTTCGAGTACACACAGTCGACTGTCAGTCGGGAACCACTAGAGCAACGCGGCCTCGGACTTGTCACTTAATGCGACGCCAACACCAGCCAATCTAGCTGCAGGGACTTCTGTGTCAACAGAGAAATAGAGTACATACTCGGCTTTGTGGTCAGTAGGGAACGTTAACCATGGTACGGACGTTCTGTAATTCATTCCAGAAGAGACAGCAGACTTCCATGGCGAGGGACTCTAGGGTGCGCGCCAAGCCAACCTGCTGCTTGATCTGCACGAGGGTTCGAACATCGAGGGCTGCCAGCCCGAATGAAGATAGGAGTCGAACTGCTGCAACTGACCGAACTGTTTGGGTATTGAAACTAGGTTCGAAGGAACGATAGTTATCAAGGAATGTTAGTTTGGCGAGTGATGGACGTGCGTGAGCAGCAAGTACGTCAGAAACAGAACGACGTAGTATTATTTGCGGAATACATGATTTTTGTCAGATGGCGAGATACTACCCGATTGCCCAAGCCGAGGTACGGAGTAGCCTTAAGAGACCACCCCGTAGCTTTGGGTTAATGGCTTACCTGCAAAGCAGCGGAGCAAAGTCTGAGAATCGCACCCATTTGGGAGCCTTTCGTTTGGCCGGATGCTAAACCCCCTGCGCAGCCCCTCCCCTTACGATTCCAGCCATTGGCTGCTGGAATGCAGTGCTCCACGGAAATTACTTTAGTTATTGGTGGGTCACATCCACCAAGTCACCGTGTTCTTAAACGGACATATGTTGCATTTTATAGGGAGAATTATTACCAGGCAAAACCCACTACGTCCTGGCACACCCCAGCCGAACCATTCGCTGGAACGGGATAGTCCCGAATCACCCAGATGGTACCACGAGGATGTTGTTCGGCAAGCCGTAACATGTGGATTTTCAAATGTGTCTCATCTTTCTTTTGCATTGTAATCATAATCATTTGCTGTTTCGAAAGATGTTTGCCACTTTGGCTTTCCGCTTTTTCCCGGCACAGCCGAATTGAACTGCACTGAATTGGAGATGCGTTATTACATTTCTTAAGTCGCGTCTTCAAATCCTCTTTCGAGTCCTGACTCAGCGCTGAGTGATTTTTATCTGTTTCGACCCTTACGAATTCCTCAGAAATGTACATTCACAGGGATCATGAATTGAAGTCGTATGTCCTAAATTGGTTCGGGCTTACTGCTAAGCGTTTCTACAACGAAGCATCCCAAGCAGTGTATAACCAAAACAGGGGGATATAAAGTCAAGTCAAAATTAGCTTTATACATCCAGATGGGTACATTTTCAGCGCTTTACAATATCGACAACGGATGAGCTGAAATTACATTATCAGAACTACATTTGTAGAAATGGATAAAAGGACACTGTGTAGATGTGTCACTTGTCTAACCGATCTGGGTAAAAGCGCAACAATCGAACAGTTCCAGATACAATAATTTGAAGCCAGCGTTTCAAGCTACATTTTCAATCGGGGCCGTCCATCTTCACATGCGCATTAGCAAGTTTTTCTCAAAGATTATGCGAAGGACAGCAGCTGTGACCTTGAAAATAGCTTGACTAGTATCAATGTTGAAGTATTCTGAGAAAACTGATGCACCCATAGCGATATTGTAAAACGTTGTTCAGTGACCACGGCGCGGCCGATTTAAAGGCCCCGCCTTAAACAATGGAAGCAGTTGCCTCTTCCTGAAATCTTGAACTTTTTAAAAAGAGTCCCGAATGAAACTTTCTGCTACTCACATTGCCAATTTTCATTCCTACGCTACGCATCAGTTTTGGCACTGCCCCAGCCGTAGTGAGATGCGAATGTTTACATCTTACTGAGCGAAAGAATTTATTTCGGTTTTCATATAAGAATATCGTGGTTTAATTTACACTTGCCAAGTAAAACCTCAGATATTTCTGAATTTTTTTGCTAATTTCATGCACTATCCGTCCCATTTTCTTTTCCATGCTTCTAGATTCGAGCTCTGTCCTGTGTACTTCGAACTCCGGTAGAAGTCATACAAGCGGATGGACTTCCCGTTATCATCGGAGGAGAATTCGCTGGTATTCCGATCACCATAGTGTAAGCACGCAACGCGGTACTCTGTGAATAAGTATACGCTCTCTCATTCAATGCCTTGGTCTCTCGACCACCATAGTATACGTTTGTGACACCACCGTTTGTGAACAACAGTGCTCTCTTGTCAATTCAATATTTTTGAATCAGAGTACTAGAACCCGATTCCTCTTCACTGCAACAACAACAGCAGCAACAGCGCATCGGCCATCTGAACCGATGTTTCACTACTGTACCAGCACAATGATCTACGGAACAAAGAAATGGGACCCAGCGTAAAATCTTTGTGCTCTAAGCAAACACTCATCGACAAGACACCTACACATTGTCAACATCAGTCACAACCATCTGGTTGTCGTGCAGAGATAAGACGACATCGATGAGATATATTCCTTGAGAATTCCACTGTGGCGTCTCATAAACAAGCATTACTGCGCATTTAGCTCAGCATAACACACGATTAGAACCCGCGGACCGACTAGGAGACGACGGCAAACGCGCCACTCTTATGCCGACTGCGAGCCGCCACGTCCTGCTTCGTCTCGAGCCAAGCGCAAGTCGGACCACTTATTCTGCAGCCGGGGAGGCTAGATAGACTAACAGCAGCCAGTTTTGTAGTCAGTAACAACATTTCCTGCTACCAAGTTGACTTTTGACTTCCGCCACCCTACATCTGACAAACAAAACGAAACCGTCCTCGGTAAACGTTGACCGGGCATACGTGGTCCGTGTCCAAGCCAACATATTCCGTGCTACCAGTTGTTCTAAGGGACTAGCCTTATTATCACTACCTAACACGGGCGCACAAATATCGTCGTTGCGGATACGCTGGTGCCACTTGACAGCAGTGATTCTGCATAGGCAGTGCTGATCAAAGACTTGAAGTCGCTTCATCTCAGATTGAATGGGTCTAGTCTCACTCCCATATGCGAATGTGGCCCCCCACTGTTACGTTGTGTTGCAGAACTCAGTCCTTCAGGGACAAGCGTTTATTCGGCAAAGACCACTAAGCGGAAATTACAGCATGTTTAGCAAGCCAAACTCCTCGATGTAAATTGCAAGTTCCATGAGATTCGATGAGATTCCTCCTTTGCTTCAGTCAAACAAACGGTGAATCCTTCACACGAATCTCGTCCAGTAATCGAATTCGTCACGTCCGCCTCACATTGGCTGTTTGGCTCGCTAGGTTGGTCCATCTGCTCACTCTGATCTGATGCTGCCATCACATCCTCCTTTTTTCGTGTTCTTGCGCCTCCATATTTCTATCCACACCGTACACCTTGCCACTCCGGGTCGTCTTCGCTGTATCTGCGGCCGTGGTCTCCTTGCCCCACGCCATCTGCCACTCCACTCCCAACCCACATTGTTGTCTCCTGTGTCGTCCCAAATGCACTCGATTTCTGAACGTTTTCCCTCCAACCTTTATTTCATATGACCTGGCACCGACCCTCGCAGTCACCACACCTTTCTTCCATCACTCTTGATTATCGGGTAATGGTTGAACCCACACTTCCTCTCCCACTGTTAGCTCAGGCAGTACCCGTGCACCGCGATCATTGTACCGTTTCGGGGTGATCATTCGTCGTCTCAGATTGTTCTATAATCGTTCGTGCTGCGGCGAAACTGGGCGCAAAAGTGTGGTAGATAACGGCATCAACGTTCTAGTCCTTCGGCTGTATAGATGCTGCACCGGGCTCAAACCGATATTCGTTGAAGGAGTGTTGCGATTCTCCAGTAGCATGAGGTACTCCAGTTGCTCTAGCCTATGACAACAGTCGCTTAGCCTGCTTCACTGCTGACTCCGTTTTTCTATTCCATTGACTGTGATATGGGTTGGTTTGCTGGTGCACGGATTCCCACTTGCTTGCAAACGCCTGGAACGCACCGCTGGTAAACTGGGGCCCATGATCGGAGGTCAGTTCTTCCGATATACTGTGTCGCACAAACTGACATCTGAGCTTGTTGATTACTGCCTCTGTAGTCGTAGTGATGAGTAGATTGATTTCACAATAATCACTATAGTAATTCACCGTGAGTAAGTAATCTTTCCCGTTATCAATGAATAAATCCACCACCACCTTCTGCCACGGTCGATCAGGGACATTATGCAGCATCTGTGCTTCCCTCGTCTGCCGGATTTCGTGTGAACAGCACGCCTCACAACTCGATACGTGACCTTTTATTTCCCCGTCATTTTTGTCCAAAAGATAAATTCTGTTGCTCGGTTAATGGTATAGTTGGCACCAAGGTGAGCGCGATGAACATATTTCAGCATTTCTCCCCGGAGCGGTGACGGAATCAGAATACGGCTTCCCTTGAACAGCAAGCCATCATAGACAGAGAGTTCATCCCGAAAATTGAAGTAGGGTGTTAGTTCCTTCGGTAGCTGCTTCTTTGTCTCTGGCCACTCATTAGGATAATCTTTTGCAAAGCTGAAAGCGTTGCATCTTCCTCAGTATGGCGCCTCATTTCCTTTAGGCAACTTTCTGTCACTGCTAGATGATGTACTAAGTTTACTGCTTCGATCTCTTCCGGATTATGCTCGGGTACCGGCAGATGAGCTCTTGACAGTGTATCCGCGATGAATATCTGTGCACCAGGCATATACGCAATATCCACGTCGTACTTTTGAAGCCGGATAAGCATACGCTGAAGGTGATGAGGAACGACGTGCAGCGGTTTCCTGGCCATTAACACAAGCGGCTTGTGGTCGGTATAAAACGTTGCCTTTCTTCCGAAAGTATTATCATTAAAACGCCCCATGCCATAGGCTACTGCAAACATCTCCTTCTCTATCTGCGCATAGAGCTGCTCGGTTGTGGTGAGTGCTCGGCTGCGGAAATCCAAAGGTTTTCCATTCCGTAAGAGAACAGTCCCTATTCCGTCTGGGCTACTGTCACACTGTACATCCAAAGACTGCGCTGGATCGTAGTACCTGTGTACAGGCACTTTGCTGATGAGGTGCTTAATAATTCGGATACGGTTTCCTGTTCTTTTCTCCAACTCCACTTTACTCCTTTGTGAGTTAACTTCTTTCTCGGCGTCATATCAGCGAGTCTTGGCATAAAACGGCTCAAGTACTTCACCATACCGTTTAAGCGGTGGATTCCCTTCACGTCATTAGGAGGCGACATCTCTCGAATTGCCTTACTTTTTCCTAGATCGACCCTGACCCCTTATGTTGTTAACAAATGCCCATGGAAAATCACCTCGTCTTTCCCAAGTTCAATTTTCTCACGTTTAAGCTTGGTGTCCTTTTGTACACAACGCTGTAGGAATCGGTGGAGATTTGCGTTATGATCTTCTGTCGAGCCATAGATTAAACCATTGTCTGCCACGCATGGTAAACCATTAAATCATCTACCGCTTGCACCAATCGCTTTTGAAAAATTTCACTCGACACATTCAAGCTAAACGGTAAACGCAGTCAACGATAACGCCCGAACGGTGTTGCAACGTTAGTAAGGAAACTGGATTCATCATTTCACACTACGTGCCAGAATGCCGAGGAGAGGTCTACCTTCTTGAAACACTTAGCTTTGGCCAAACGCGGCAAAATGTCTTCTAAGGTAGGTAGCGCGTAATGCTTTCTACGCAAGCCCTTATTAAACGGTTTTGGATAAATACACACACGCAGTTCGCCCATCTTTTTCCTACTTATTACGACCTTACTCACCCAGTCGGTTAACTCGTCGACTTTGGCAATCACGCCGTCTTACAATAATTTGCTCAATTCAGCGGAGAACCTGTCACGCAGTGCAAATGGAACTCCCCTAGCTGGTGCGCTGTCCGTCATATCGAAGGATCTAAGAACAAGTGAGCTGTTCCCTCAAACTTTCCCAAACCTGGGCTAAACACAGGCGGATACTGGTCACTAATATCGGTTTCTCCTTGGCAAACATGCACAAAACGATCATGATTAAAAGCAACAAAACCGAGAGACTGGATCGAATCAATGCCGAGAATCGGCGTGGACTCCTCCTTCATGATCACAAACTCCAGTGGATATGAGGATCAATCTCTTGGGTTAACGACTTCGATTGTAACTGAGCCATTTGGATGAGATTTGGAACCATTACACATACGCAGCTAATCTGAATCGGTTCGAATGCACACTTCGGGACAGTGCTTCCTTGGTAGAATGTTGACAGTTGCACCTGTGTCTAACTGGAATCGTATGATTTTTCCTTTAATCAAAAGACTTGCGTAGGCACATTTCTGCGGTATCCTCGAAGACATGTTGCCAATTGAATGTTCTGCATCTGCGGGGGACTTGTCACGAACCACCGCACTCACATTGGTTGATTGGCAGCAACGAACAAAGTGGTTCTTCTTCCACATCCGATGCATTTCCGTCCCCACGCCGGACACTGCTCGCTTGTGCTGGGATGTCGCATGGCGCAAAATGTACAGACCTCCTGTCTCACGGTAGTAACCTTCGCTACTTCGCCTCCGCAAACGTCCCGCAATTCTGCATCTGTTGCGAGCTTCCTTTTTTGGTATTGATGGGTGGTTGAAGACAATGTTGCAGATATCAATGCACTGCTAAAGCGATAAATTGCATTGTCGCAAAAGCCGCTTCGTCGTACTTTCATCATTGATTCCTAAAGCGATCCGATCGCGTATGAGACTGTCACCAAACATTTACAGAAATTACCGGATCGGGTCAAAATTTTCAATTCAGTGATGTACGCGTGGACTGATTCTGTGGGGTCTCTGTTGCGCCAAAAGAAGACGGTGCTGGTAGTTCTCCTTGGTTTGACCATCACTGAACTTTCCGATGACTGTCTCCAAATTAATGGGATATTCGCCTTTGTCGTAGTGCAGTATCTCTAGAACACGGCGCGCGTCGTCCCCGGCTGCGTGCCGAAACATGGCCAAGCGATACGCCATCAGTTGTTCGTCCAAACGTACCAAGGTGCAGAAATCATCCAACTTGGTCTTCCATAGACGCCAAGTTTCCTTCGTTCATGTTCAGTGGAGTAGGCATCTGAATAGACGGTGCT